TATATAAATCCTCAATAATAATAATAATAGGCTTTACTACCAAGTGGACTTTACTACTACAAGCAGACTTTACTGCCACTTTAAAGGATTAGTTTATGTTTGCAAACAACTGCCTATGCAGATAAGGGGTGTTTTTAGATGACTAAAGTAGAGTAATGCCTTTCCTATAGGTATAGATCATCAACATAGCAAAGCCTGGCTGTAATACTCCCAGGAAGTTGCTAGGGTGTTGCTAAAGCTGCCCACATACGGTTGCTGCTAAACCGGCCAAAATTCAAACCATGTTTGGGCAGGCTGAATGTATCCAATCTGAATGATCAACTTGGGTTTACAACCAGCTTGTCGGATTTTACGTGCGATTATTGCTAGCGGTTATTTTCCTGGTGGCTGGGAATGATTCAAGCAACCCATGGATGCAGGAAAGAAAATCACACCATCCATTATCAGGCTTACGTGAGACCTTGTCATTACTGCTCACCTCCACCACCACAGGAGTGAGCTTTTTGTTTGATTCAAACCCCCTCACATGCTCTTTCTTCCCCTGATGCAGTAGCTCTGAGCTCAGCATTTGAGAGCTCACTCCTGTGATGGAGGTAAGAAGTAATAACTAGATCTCACTTAGCAATGTCCTAGCAACATCCTGGGAGTATTCCAGTCATGTTTCAGGAGATGCATAAATGGCCTACAGCGATAGCAATTGCATTTATCAACTTTTGTCAGAGCTGCACCATTTTTGTTCATCTACAGATGCCACTTATCTACATAGTCAGGTTTTTTTTTTTGGTAAACTAACCCTTTAATTGTTCAGCCACTCTTGTGATTCAAGCATCTCGGATAGCCAAAATACAGTTCTAGGGTTCCTGTCCTCAAAATAATGACAGGTACTTTTACAAGCAACTTGTAGCAGTAGTATAGTGTTGTACCCTGTTAGGGGTTTAAATTTGGGGTTTAAATGTTACTCTTTATTGGATAACTTAAGTTATTAAAGATGCAAGCTTTCAGGAAAACTTGGATCCTTTCTTCAGGCTTTGTCTAGGAATCCATTAAATGCCTGAAGAAGAGATCTACTTTCTTGTGAATGTGTCCATTACACTTCTGTAGAGCAGAAATCTTCTGTCTTCTGATAACTCCCCCTTCCCTGCAACCATAATCGTATGGTACAGCGAGGATTAATAAAACTGAGGGGGCTGCCCAGCTATGCCTGCCCTTTCTGCCCAGTTTCTCCTTTCATTGAAGCTGCATGAAAGTGACCTGTGAATGGAGGGGGCAGATCTGTCAGTCATCACCCGTCCTCCATTCATAGATCCTGTGTTTCGTTCAGAGAAGCTGTAACGGCTTATATGAATGGGCGAAAAGGGCGGGTGAAGACAGACTCTCTCGATGAAAGCCGGTGACTTCCATACTGGAAGATTATGGCAGAAGGGACAAAAGATTTCTACTGAACTAGAAAACAGAAGCACTGAAAGTGAGTAATGTCGCTTGTGCTGATTTTGTATTTTTAGTAGGTAAACATTAAGTTAGCCAATAAAAGGTATCACGTAAACTTCAAAGTTCTGAAAACTATGTTTAAAAAAACTTTTTTTTTTTAAAGAATATGTATCTGAATTAAAAGTGTGTTTATATTTGGCCGGAGATATCTCTAGGCATGTTCTGCGTCAGTGACTAGGAAAATATAGAGGTAAAAGTATTTTCAGGACAGCCAGAAAGAGAATTCAGTAATGGTTGAAAACATATTTTGTTCATGACAGGTTTCCTTTAATATTGAATTTGTATCAGCTCTTACATACCATGATACTTCACGTTAGATTGACAGTTTAAATGCTTCACTGGCTACTGAGATGCAAACAAACATAAATATGTTAATCTGATTACTGACTATACAGACACTTCATTGTGTCCAATTTCTACAACTCAGCTCCACTGTTAGGCTAAGAGCAAATATTTTTTTATCTCACGCAGCCTTTCTAAAGCTTTTCATTCTGCAGGAACCTAAGAAATTATTTTTGGGTGTCAGGGAACCCCTGCTGAAAATGTTTTCATATCACAGCTTGCGATATATTAGTGTGATCTCTAAGTTGCAGAAAGAAAATAAAAAAGAACAAATGTAGAATGTTTAACTTCTACAGCAGATCATTTTGAACACCCTCCTGCTGTACTTGACAAATTTATTTGCAGCAATAATCATGAAATGAAATAAATATAATAATGAAGAAAAAATAATCAGAGATAATGAACATTGTAGTGTTCTCTTACATTAATGGTCAGTAGAGAAATGTTCCTTTACGTTTGTGGTCAGTGGAGAAATACCCCCTTACATTTGTGGTCAGTGGAGAAATGCCCCCTTACATTTGTGGTCAGTGGAGAAATGCCCCCCTTACGTTTGTAGTCAGTGGAAAAATCCCCTCCTACATTTGTAGTCAGTGGAGAAATGGCCCCTTACGTTTGTGGTCAGTGGAGAAATGGCCCCTTACGTTTGTGGTCAGTGGAGAAATGCCCCCCTTACGTTTGTGGTCAGTGGAGAAATGGCCCCTTACATTTGTGGTCAGTGGAGAAATGGCCCCTTACATTTGTGGTCAATGGAGAAATTGCCCCTTACGTTTGTGGTCAGTGGAGAAATGGCCCCTTATGTTTGTGGTCAGTGGAGAAATGGCCCCTTATGTTTGTGGTCAGTGGATAAATGGTCCCTTACGTTTGTGGTCAGCGGAGAAATGGCCCCTTACATTTGTGGTCAGTGGAGAAATGGCCCCTTACATTTGTGGTCAATGGAGAAATTGCCCCTTACGTTTGTGGTCAGTGGAGAAATGGCCCCTTACGTTTGTGGTCAGTGGATAAATGGCCCCTTACGTTTGTGGTCAGCGGAGAAATGGCCCCTTACATTTGTGGTCAGTGGAGAAATGGCCCCTTACATTTGTGGTCAGTGGAGAAATGGCCCCTTACATTTGTGGTCAGTGGAGAAATGGCCCCTTACATTTGTGGTCAGTGGAGAAATGCCCCCCTTACGTTTGTGGTCAGTGGAGAAATTGCCCCTTACATTTGTAGTCAGTGGAAAAATCCCCTCCTACATTTGTGGTCAGTGGAGAAATGGCCCCTTACATTTGTGGTCAGTGGAGAAATGCCTCCTTAAATTAGGGATCAGCGGGAAAGTATCCCATTGCGTTGGTCATTGTAGTGACGTTGCTGGTCAATGTAGAAGTGACTTCTTGTATTGCAAAGACATACAAATGGGGGCCAAACCCTAAAGTGAAAAAGTGCCTTTGATACTGTATGTCACATGAAAACAGCTAACATATTTCAAGAGGCAACCAAACTCATCCATCAGGGCTTAGAGAGCATGTATCAAACACAAGGCCCGCAGGCTGAATCCAGCCTACCAGGCCATTTCACCCTCACACCCCTCCTGCAGTTGCAGCGCCCCCCTTGTCTCTGCCCTCACCTTGTCTCAGCAATCGGCAGCAGAAAGGAGGACAGAACTCCTCCATCACATCCTGCACTTCTCTGTACAGCTGCAAAGAGGCTGGTCTCTAACCCCTCCCCCCATCTCAGCACTCGGCAGCAGAGAGGAGGACAGAACTCCTACTACAGACCCTGCCCCTCTCTGTGCAGACGCAGCACCACCTTGTCTCCACCTCCCCTGGTCTCAGCGTTCAGTAGACTCCGGAAGCTGACTCCAGTCTTCCTCTGGTTCTCCTTTAGGGCATGCACCTTCTGCTTCCCAGCTCTGCCCCCAGCTTCTTCCCGCCAGAAGCCCAAGAAAGCCAAGAGAGGTGCACTGTGATGTAAGGGAGGGTGGGAGACCTGACATCTTATGGTGGGGTGGGCTCTTTACATCTGATGCAAGGGAGGTAGGGAGCTCTGGACATCTAGTCTTACAGATACAACTGGCCCTTGTATCTGGGCAACCAAAATGCTGATGCAGACCATGATTAAATCGAGTTCGACACCATTGGCTTAGAGCAGGGGTCCTCAAACTACGGCCCGCGGGCCACATGCGGCCTGCCGAGGCCATTTATTCGGCCCGCCGACAGGGGACAGGAAGGGACACTAAGTACAGGAGCAGGCAGGGGGCTGCTGTACCTTACCTGGCTCCGGTCCCAGTCCCACAGCGATCCAGTCCAGGAAGCGCTGCTCCTTCATTCACTCCGGCCACTCCCTCACTCCTGCCGCTCGGCTCCACCTCCTCCCCGGTGATTGGGCGCCAGAACTGTAGCTCAGGAAAGGCACACATGTGTCCAATCACCTGCGAGGAAGCGGAGCCGAGCAGCCCCACGAACATCGAGTGAGGGAGAGGCCAGAGTAAAGAAGGACAGCTGACAGGTAAGTGTGCCGTGCTGATGGTGCTGCTACAACCAGGTATGCTGGCTGCAAGAGCACCATGCTGGAGCAGGGGTCAGCAAGTTAAGTGTCATTGGTGTCAGTGGGAGGAATAGTGCCCCATTATTGGTGTCACTGATACTAATGGTGGGGCATTATTCCTCCCACTGACACCAATGATGGGGCACTATTCCTCCCCCCACTGACACCAATGATGGGGGCACTATTCCTCCCCCCACTGACACCAACGATGGGGCACTATTCCTCCCCCCACTGACACCAACGATGGGGCACTATTCCACTCCCCACTGACACCAGCGATGGAACACTATTCCACCCCCCACTGACACCAGCGATGGAACACTATTCCACCCCCCCCACTGACACCAATGATGGGGTACTATTCCTCCCACTGACACCAATGTTGGGACACTATCCCCCCCCACTGACACCAATGACGGGGCACTATTCCCCCCCCCACTGACACCAATGACGTACTATTCCTCCCACTGACACCAAAGATGGGGCACTATTCCTCCCACTGACACCAATGATGGGACACTATTCCTCCCACTGACACCAATGATGGGACACACTTCCTCCCACTGACACCAATGATAGGGCACTATTCCTACCACTGACACCAATGATGGGGCACGATTCCTCCCACTGACACCAATGATGGGGCACTATTCCCCCCCCCCCTGACACCAACGATGGGGCACTATTCCTCCCCTCACTGACAACAACAATGGGGCACTATTCCTCCCCCCTCACTGACAACAACAATGGGGCACTATTCCTCCCCCCCCCCCGCTGACACTAATGATGGGACACTATTCCTCCCACTGACACCAATGATGGGGCACTATTCCTCACACTGACACCAATGATGGGGCACAATTCTTCCCACTGACACCAATGATGGGGCACCATTCTTCCCACTGACACCAATGATGGGGCACCATTCTTCCCACTGACACCAATGATGGGGCACGTTTCTTCCCACTGACACCAATAATGGGGCACGTTTCTTCCCACTGACACCAATGATGGGGCATGTTTCTTTCCACTGACACCAATGATAGGGCATGTTTCTTCCCACTGACAACAATGATGGGGCACTATTCCTCCCACTGACACTAATGATGGGGACTGACACTAATGATGGGGCACGATTCTTCCCACTGACACCAATGATGGGGCACTATTCCTCCCACTGACACCAATGATAGGGAACTATTCTTCCCACTGACACCAATGATGGGGCACTATTTCGCTCCATAAGACACACTTGGGGGGGAAATGTCTGTGCGTCTTATGGAGCGGCTGGCCCAGTATTCCTGCCGCTGTTGTATGTCCGCAGTCTCTGGTCATCTCATGTACTGTGTCCGCATTTGTTCATAGTTTTTTTTTTTTTTTAAACTATAGTCCGGCCCACCAACGGTCTGAGGGACAGTGAACTGGCCCCCTGTTTAAAAAGTTTGAGGACCCCTGGCTTAGAGGAATAGAGTAAGGACTTGAATGGACTCAAAGGAAACTACCTATTATAGGTAATCTGGGGCAAAACCTTCTTTTGGGGTGGAATTACAACAGTCTAATCAGCAGCCATGAAACATTGAATGTCAGTGGAATCTTCTGCCTCTGGAAGGGTTGAAGATCAATCTGCCATTACTCAAGGAACCCATAGTAACGGAACCATTGGGTTTCACTGAGCCCCGGCTAAGAAATGATTAATTTACACTTGTGGTTGGGGGCAGCAAAGACAGCATTTTTACTGCTCCCCCTTAGCTGAAAAGGCAGCTGTATTATTATACAGGATTATTATACAGTTTACAATATAAGGTAGACAGTACAATTACAATACATTTCAGTACAGAAGGAATAGGAGGACCCTGCTCGTGGAGCTTACAAGCTGTATGGACATATACACATGCCATGCCCAGGATGCTTGCATTGCTGCAAACATTTTCTCTGCTGTCATATTCAGCGTGCAGTACTGCCTGCCAAATGCAACCCATTCAAGTGAAAAGGGTCACCCCGCAATTGTGTGCAATACACATGGTTACGTGCATGGCAGTATGGCCTTTAATGGTGAAAACAGGCAGTGAAAAGGCAACGTAACATCTCCTTACCATCTGTTGTGTCCTCTGAAAAGTGATCCATTACAGATTGCTTTTCAGAGGGGTGACACAAGTGTAAATGAGCCCAAAGGATGTTCTAGTTTACCGTACATTTGTGGAGCCATTACAAGTCAAAACTTCAGAAAGAGTATGCTGAAGAACACAATGGATTTGAAGCTTTCTTAGAGTGTTTCTATCATTCTAGTGATATCATATATCATACTAATCCACCTCTTAAGACCAATAGATAAGCATTTAATAAAGTATGTATATGGAAGCAGTACTTACAGGAAGAGCCATTAAGATTAGTTAGAGTAAGAAAGTGTGATCGGCCGCAAGTGCTCACATTATCCTGAAGATACACTCTGCCTACAGCTAGAAAGAGAAGTATTGGGGTAGTAAGGTTATACTAGACAAGTTAATTGGAAGTTCCAGAAATTACAGAACTCCCCCCTAATATTCACACTTTTGCTCCCCCTGCAGGTAAAACCAGTGACTGCAGACAGCCATTGATACAAGTACAATGCCCCCATTGTCTACAAAGTGACTGCAGAACCTAAAGTCCCCTCTGTATTACATAGAGAGAGATGACAAGCAAATGGCTTATTTTTACTTTTCCTGGAAATTCTCTCTAACTACTTAACCTCTGCCCATTGTAAGCACATGGGTTAAATTTCCTCTTTTATGTTCTGTAGTGTTATTTGCATGCTTACTCAGGGCTTTCTTCTAAATATTTTGTTAAGCAAACATTTGAATCGCTCAGGTCAAATATTCATAGCTCAGCTGAACACGAGGCATGCTTTGCTACGTGCGCTGTTGTCTCTGCTGAAGAGTACAGAATCCAGAAGGAATTTGTCGCTGTTTAAATAAGTCAATATTGTTTTTGCAGTTCTCTGCCTAGATGAAGCAGGACGCTGGGCTCCAGACTATGTAAAATATGTGCTTCTGCAGTCAAATTGTGCTCCCTCCAGGCTACCTTCCGATCTGTTTGTCTCTACACAGTCACCACTTGGAATAGTCATCTCTCTCCCCCTTACACTTAGAGTGTGGAGTGCCAAGACCACAGAGTGTGCTTAAAAGGAAGGGGTTAATGTGGGTCACACAGGTCCAGTGTGTAATGTATAAGGAACCTTTCACACGGGCCGGACCCATTTAGCGGATGCGCTTGATCAGCGGGAGATCTCTCCACTGAGCAAGCGGATGACAGCTGTGTCCGCTCTGCTGCTGCAAAGTGGACACAGAGCTGCTTGCTCTCCTCAATGGGTGGTTGGATGAACATGGACCGCCTGTCTGTTTTCATCTGACCTGATCTGATCCGATCCGAAGGACAGAAGGGGAATTGGATTCCCATCCGTCCCTTTTGGACACATGTCCGTTTACTCCTGCTGCTCCATAGAGAAGAATGGAGGTTCAGATCGGGTTCGCCTGAAAATGGCCAGGTGGACCTGATTGGAGCGTCCATGTGAAAGAGCCCTAAAACATCAGAAGATCTGATAGCACGGGGTTAGAGGGAAAGTTAGTATCTCAAGTGCATAAAGACCCTAATGAGGTCTCCAATTTGTGGGTTAAAGTGGTTCTAAAATCTGCAGATTTGTACCTTCATGCATTCTTTGCATGAAGGTAAAAAACCTTTGTGCAGTTCCCACTCACTCCCCCAGCCCCCCTAATACTTACCTGAGTCTGAGCTCGATCCAACTAGGTGAATGAGAGCAGCAGCTCTCCCCGCTCTCTCCCTCCTCACTGGCTCAGAGACAGCAGCGGGAACTATTGGCTCCCACTGCTGTCAATTACAGCTAGTGACGAGGGGGCAGAGCTGAGCCATGCTCCGTGTGTTTTATAGACACCCAGAGTGGGCTCAGGAGTGAGCACACATGAGGGCCCCCATAGCAAGCTACTTGCTACGAGGGCACTGGGAAGAGGGGAGGAGCCAGAAGTACCAAAGGAGACCCAAGAAGAGGAGGATTGGGGCTTCTCTGTGCAAAAGCGATGTTGACATGTTTGTTATTAAAAAAGAACCTTTAGTATCACTTTACAATTTAGTTTGATGGATGTAAAGCATAAATGTTAAAATAAAGTGAAAAAGCAGGCATGAGATGTGCCTACAGATGCCTTCTTTAGGCCTTGTACATATGGGTTTCAGCTTGCATAGGTATGTACACCAAGTTTCTAGAGAACATTTGCAAAACTTTTAGCTAGTGTTGAGCAGTGTTTAAAACAACCTCAACATCTGTTTGGGGAGGCTGAATACCGATGTTAATTGGAGAGATAAGTGTCACTTTAATCAAGTTGCTAACAGGCTTCAGTAGGTTTCTGTGCTACATTAAATTTTCTGAACACCTGCTTGTTTAAAGTGACAGTCATCCCTTTAAAATATATGTTTAACATCCCTTTTATGACACTTAAAAGTGGTTGTAAACCCTTGCATATACCCAGTGAAGTGACTGGCCTCAGGTGATACACAGATCCTCCATAATTTGTACCTGTTTATCTGCAGTCTTTTCTATATCTGTTCAGTATCTAGAATTTATACAGCATGTCTGAAGATCAGCAGAGTGGGTTGAGAGCTGAAGTTACACTTTGCAGATCTCAGTTTTGAGAGCTCTGAGAGGTGGTTGGAGGGAAAGGACACACCCCCCTGCACAAAGCACACAGGAACAGAGCTGAGGCTGTCAATCACAGGCTGTGGGTCCTTTCCTCTGTCACCTCATTAACTCTTGGTGTCAGCAATACTTGTCAGAAGTGACTTATGCAGATAGCAGAGGAATGGGGCAGCAGACAGAAATGACACTTCGTGTTCTGGCCTGAGACAAGTACACACTATAGAGGGATATGCTTTGTTCATATTTCATGTGTGAGGTTTACATCCACTTTAAAGCCAAATTGAACCCACTTGATTTATTACTCTAATGCAATCAGGCTGAATATACAGTAATAAACATACTGCTTACTTTTTTTTAGCTGCTGAAAGGGTTAAAATGCCCCATGTTGGCAGCATGTAGGAGAGTCAAGCCACTACAATTACACACAATGCAGGGGTCTGACTTGTCCACTTGAACACTGGTCAGGAAGTAAGACCATTGTTGATGATACCAGTGTGCAGAGGGGCACATTGGATCACTGGAGAACCAGACTGCTGCATTGTGTGTAAGGACAGTTGGCCAACTCTCCTGCCATTCAGGGTATTATAACAGTTGTGCAGCATTTAGGATCCTCAACTTGCAAATGGCCCTGGAACACCCCTTTCCCACACCCCTTTCCCACACCTCTTAGTGCTCACTAACCAATAGGGATAATCCAGCGGGGAGAATGGGATAACACCATGCTCTGACTTTGAAGTCTCATGTAGATGTTTACTTACTCCATTTCCTGAGAATTTAGGTTAGCCCTGCTGCCAGCTTTTTACTGGCTATTTTGGCTTTTATAGCCACAATTCAATTCAATATTCTTTTTATGCTACCATACAAATTGCAATTTTTGGTAATTTAAATCATTTTTCACCAGTTTTCAGTGGCAGTCTAATGGATCAAGACAGCCAACCCCCAATAGTTTTATATAACAGATTTCTGGGAGGTGTGTGGATCCACTTGATCAATTTTGTTATTTAAAGATGGTTGGAAATGGCCAACATAGGATTCTGATAGCCCAAACATAGTTCAACTGTGCTGGTTTCTGAATCACCTAGTGGTAAGAGACCTTGGCACTTTATGTCTGCACGGCTCCTCACACTTTACCCAAAATGATTGTGTAATCCACATTTGATGAAATATTAATGCTGCACCACTGCAGCAAGTTTCCATAAGAAAGACATTTGACAGACTAATAAAACAAGGGGCAATCTGCCAAAAAAGAAAGCTGTTAGAGATTACCTATACCCAGAATGTGCTTTCACCAGTGATGTCACATTTTATTTGAACCTTTGTATACACTTTTCTTGGGATTTCAATTTTTAAAAGTTTGGCACAACAATTTGGCAGTCAATCATGTCTGAACAATTAGGGCCTATTCACATCACTGCAGTGCGTAGCACGCTTAGTGTCAAGGAAGCCCATTCATTTGAATGGGCTGCTTGACACAACAAAAATGGTGCATGTACAATTTCTGGTAGTATACCACAGTGCAGCACACCACACCTTACAATGCATTGCAGCATCCATTGAGAAGGTACATTGGGGTCAT